TAAGTTTTAAAGATATTTGTCTGATAAATATCATATTGAGACAATGAATGAAAGAGACACTTAATACCTCTGTATTATATCTATTATCTCGGTAAAAAATGTGTCTTGAAAAAAAATTACTTGTTATGTTTTTTGAATTAAACTACATAAATATTAAAATAATTGAAACCCATAGTACACCAAAAGTTTACTAATGATTTTAATGTTTGACATGACCAATTGGACCATCTCGGATCAATAATGATGTAAAAAATGATTAAAAATTTATATGATTATTCATTGAAAAATCAGAAGATTTTTCAATCTAATGAATTTTTATGTGTTACTTGCTTTGAAGGTAAATAAATTATAAGGCTATCACCAACTAAAATTGGGATTGAATTCCCTACATTTTTTTATAATATTTTGGGTTATATGTGAATTTATACATCCACCATGTGAACCATTTAGATATTATATAGTCTTAATAGATGCATTAACTAGATGGTCCCATGTGTGCTTATTATCAACTTGTAATTTGGCATTTACAAACACATTGCCTTAGTTATATAATCAAGATTATTTGTCTTGACAATACTGGTGAATTTACATCTCAAGCCTTTAATATTGCATATTAGTTGGAATAACTATTAACAAACCTATTGCTTATGTTTATACACAAAACGGTCTAGTAGAATCATTTATTAAATTTTTTCTACTAATTACAAGGCCATTATTTATGAAATTTAAACTCCCAATTTCTATTTGTGAACATGCCATTTTGGATGTAACAGCATTTGTATGCATTAGGCTAAACGAGTTATTAGAAATTCTCTCTTATACAATTAGTTTATGGTCAGGAATCAAATATTTCTCATCTAAGAATTTTTGGATGTGTTATATATATTCCAATTACTTCATTACAAATGCACAAAGATGGGTCCTTAAAGGAGGTTAGGAATATATATTGGATATGAATCTCTATTTACAACTAAATATCTAGAACTCTCAAAAGGAGTTTTTTTCACTGCAAAGTTTACTGATTGTCATTTTGATGAAACAAAATTTTCAACATTAGGGGGATAAAATAAGTAGCTAAAAAAAGAAATATCTTAGTTTACATTATCATTATCTAGTTTTGATCCATGCACAAATCAATGACAACATGAAGTTTAAAAGATAATTCATTTGTAAAATATAGCAAATCAGTTACTAGACGCATTTACTAACCTAAAAAGAGAAACTAAATCTTATATACCAATTGTAAAATGCTTTTATTAGCATTGCTGCCCCTATAGGATAAGGCACGCCAGAAGGGTGAGACCAAACGATTTCAAATATAAAATTCTCAAAAAAAAAATGAGCAAATATTCAAGATGGTCAGAAAGAGGAAATACAAACTCTAGAAGAGACCTTTGACATAACTGATAAAATTTCAGAAAAAATTTGATACCTGAAATCATTGAAAATGAAAAAATCTCAATCAATTATGTCATGACGAGAAAAATGGAACTAGAATGAATTAAATGTCGACGATAGTTTTGTATATGATATAGAGCTTGATATTATGAAAGAAAAATAAAGATCTTGAACTTATATTTACTGAAAAATATAAACATAGAAATAATTGGTCAATGTGAAAAAACACAATTAAGGAGGAATTGAATTTATTTGCAAAATATAAAGTCTTTGGACTTGTAGTCCGTACACTAAATAGTGTTAAACCAATGGAATGTAAATAGATATTTGTGCGAATATGAAAAGAGAAAATTGAGATTATGAGATATAAAGTATGGCTTGTTGCACAAGATTTTCTTTAAAGATCTAGTATTAAATATGAAGTAATATATTCTTTATAGTGGATGTAATTACAATTTTATATTAACTAGTCTGAAAATATATGAGAAGATTTAAATGCGTCTAATGAATGTAGTTACAATCTATTTATATGGCTCACTTGATAACGATATCTGTATGAAAATCACTGAAGGATTTTAATTGCCTAAAGCACAAAATTTGAATTCTCAAAAAATTCATTCGATCAAATTAAATAAATCTTTATATGGATTAAAGCAATCCACACACATATAGTATAATCACCTTAATGAATATTTGTTGAAAAAGGGTTATAGAAATAATTCTATATGCCTATGTATTTTTTCAAAAGATATTAAACTGAATTTATTATAATTGTTGTTTATGTTAATGACCTTAATATTATTGAAACTTTTGAAAAGTTATCAAAAGCCATGGATTATTTAAAGAAAGAATTTGAGATGAAAGACCTAAGAAAAATAAAGTTTTGTTTGGGTTTTTAGATTGACCACTTAACAAATAGAATTTTTATCCATTAATCTAATTATATAGCAAAAGTGCTAAAATGATTTTGTATAAAGAAAGCATATCCATTAAGTTCACCAATAGTTGTAAGATCATGAGATGTGAAAAAAGACTCTTTCTGACCTCGTGAGGATAATAAAGAACTTCTTGGTTCTAAAGTATCATAGCTTATTGAAATTGGAGCACTAATGTATCTTACTAGCAATACATGACTTGCTATATCAATTGTTATGTTTATTAGCAGGATATAGTTCTTCTCCAACTCTAAGATATTGGAATATAATTTAACATATACTTTGATATCTTCGAGGAACAATGGATATAGGCTTATATTATTCAAATGCATCAAAATAAAATTTAATTGATTATGCAGATGCAGGATATTTATCTGATTCACATAAAGCTTGATCTCAGACAGGTTTCTTATTTATATGTGGAGGTATGACTATTTCATTGCATTCTATAAAACAAACTATAGTTGCTATTTTTTTTAACCATGTAGAGATTTTATCAATTCATGAGGCAAGTGGTAAATGTGTCTAGTTAAGATATGTAACTCAATATATTTGAGAAATATGTGGCTTGTCAACCAAGAAGAAAATTCAAATAATGTTATATGAGGATAATACCGCTTGCATAGCATAGTTAAAGGAATGAGACATTAAAGGCGATAAAACAAAACATATTTTGTTAAAATTCGTCAAAATCTTTTTTCACTCATGATCTCTAAAAAAAAGGTGATATTAGTGTTCAACAAATTCAGTCAAGTGACAATCTAGTAGATTTGTTCATCGAAGTCATTCCTGCTGCAAAAAGGATTGGAATGCCTCATTTTAAAGGTCTCTATAATGTAGTCATTAGGGAAGTAAAATACGTATTATACTTTTTTTTTATTCATCAAGGTTTTTTCCACTGAGTTTTTCTTGCTAAAGTTTTTAAAGAGGTAATATTACAAAAACGTATTCTTGAAAAAAATTATGTACTTTTTTTTCTTCATTCAGATTTTTTTCCATGAAGTTTTTTTCTTGTAAGGTTAATACGAGATATATTTTTAATCTAAGAGATATTCAAAGAGAAGTGTTATAAACAAATATGTGAATGTCCATTATATTATGACTTAAGAAGTGCAGATCAAGTCAAATAGCCCAATAAGCAAGATACAAGAAATGTAATATGATTTGAGCTACTAGATAGAATTAAATTAGGATTATGATTCAAAGGGTTGTTAGCCTATAAATAGATCTCTCATTTAATTTATAAATATACACTTAAATAAAATTTTTTTATTCTCTTGAAATATTTTTTTATATTTTTTTTATATTTATTCTCTTAAAATTTATTTCATAACATAAAACTATAAATGCATTTGTTTTGGATTATTTTTCTTTTTAACTGTTCAATATGATAACCCGAATATGTTAAAAAAAATTTAAACCAAACACTACGATAATTTGGCTGTTATTTTTCAATAAAGTACGCAACTTTAAGTCTAATTTTTTTTTAAAAATAAAAAACGGAGTAAAGGAAGAAAACAGAAAAGTTCCAGAAAGCCCTAAAACCCTTCCTAGCCCTCGTTTTCTCAGTGCAGAAACAGAGTTGAGGTTATTTCTTTCCTTCTTTGTTTCTTAACACTCTCCCGCCTTGTCTGCAACAGCAACAGTAGAAAACAATGTCGCTTCGAGTGCTAAACCCGAATGCGGAAGTTCTGAACAAATCGGCGGCGCTGCACATGAACATCAACGCCGCCAAAGGGTTGCAGGATGTTCTCAAAACCAACCTGGGACCCAAAGGCACCATTAAAATGCTTGTTGGTGGCGCTGGCGATATCAAGCTTACTAAGGATGGAAACACTCTCTTGAAAGAAATGGTACCTGTTCCTTTTCCTCCCCTATTTTCCTCTTTTATATAAAAAAAAACCCTTCATATTTGGATCTACTTCCATTTCTTTTATCTCGAATATCTAATTATTAATGCACAATTTTTTTTATAATTTTGCTTAATCAAAAAAGAGAAAAAAATTCCATTTTCTTGGACAAGTTTGGTATGATTCAATACATTTTAGTGAGTTGGTTCGATGAAAATGTTTCAGCAAATTCAAAACCCAACAGCTATTATGATAGCAAGGACAGCTGTTGCGCAAGATGACATTAGCGGAGACGGAACTACATCTACTGTCATCTTCATTGGCGAGCTTATGAAGCAATCTGAGCGTTACATTGACGAAGGTTAGTGCTCAATTTTGCACTTTTCTCTTTGAATTAAAGTAGCATTTGGTATAAGGAAAGTGAAAATATATTCTCTGCTCAATTAAATTAAATTGTAGTGTTTGTTTTGTAATAAACTATTGTAATGTAAAATTGCAATTCAATCACATTACAGTAAATGGATGTAATGTGATTACAGTCCAAAACTAATGCAATCACATTACATTACTTTATGTAATGTTCTTAAAGATAGTTTTATTATTCAAATTTATTACCTTATTAAAAATATTTTATAAT